GCTGAAAGAAGACGTCGTATTGCCATAAAGCGGTGAGTGGTAAACCATTCCGTGATCCGCCCTTGATACGACTGTTGATCAACTTGAGACGTGGTAGAGCGCTTGCCACCTGACGTCCGGGGTAGAGAAACACTCCCTCCCAATCCACCTCCATTGAAGCTCCCGCCCTCTTCGCTAAAGCTGAGCAATAAGATGACTTAGTGGTAGCCCTATGAGACTAGCAAACTAGGTTGTACCTTGATGATTGCGGTCGTTTCTAGAGAGTTCCCGTCAAAGTTCTCACAGCCTCCACACCGGCAACAAGAGCGTCGATTAAGAGACAGATGCGACTCAGGCAACCCTGCTAGCGTATATAGGTATCTCGGGAAGATGCGAGAGAGAGTTTTCGGCAGGAAGAGGCTTTTAATAATTGGCAATATTCAGCAAGGGTGACTGACGGTGGAGGACTTGATCAGTTTTGCTGGGGCAAAGAGTTCGTGGCAGGCGAATTCAAGTAAAGCGCTCATGCGTTGGCCACAATATACCTTGCCGGAATATAGGTAGCTAGACTTTAGTATAGCCATCTTACGATGGCAAAAAGGAACGTAATATCTTACCGGTTCCTGGCCTGATATCGAGATGGCATGCTTGATGCCAGGAGTGTCGATGGCCCCCGCAACCCACAACTATTACTGAATGAGGCCTTGTTTGTATGTACTCATGATTTCAGGAGACTGCGGAAACGCAGTCTTTCGATGAAACGTGACTAGTTCTCATAGTGGGACTGTCTTAGTAAAGCAACTTGACCTGCTCATATCCAGGAACATCGGGAGACGTCCCGGACGCTTCATTGCATAGAACATGCAAGGCAAAGCGCACATAACCAGCACCATCATCCTGATGACCACATACGACCATAGGTAGTGGAAAATACGGGATCCCGTCCGCTCTCCCATAGTCAAGCCACTAACCGGCGGATTAGTAGTTGGGTCGGTGACGACCAGCGAATCCCCGCTGTTGTATGTTCATTTTTGGCTGGATGCGTGTCTCTCATTCATTGTCTTGGGCGTCTTGCTCCAGATAGGAAGTCTCGCCTTTCGCTCACGGCTGGGGCGAACACATGGTTGATAGTTGTGGTTGGGGTTGAATGAGAATCGTAATGCGGAAACCGAAACCTGTCGTCATTCAGAAGATGGCGTCAGGAGACCCTACCACGTTGAGATACTCCACGATGCTTTCAAAGTCGCTTGGTGCGATAGTTTCTATTGTAAATCGTTCTATCCAGCCATTAATCGTGACATTACTTCGTTTCCATCTTTCCCATGAGATACCTTCAAGGGCCGATATTCTTTACAGGCGGAGGACCTGACAGCGGCTGTCGATACCGTCGAAGATACAAGTGTTGTCGATGGGCACATATTGCTTGGTGATAATCTTGATCATCTCTTGAGCAACCATGCCGCCGGTAAGGGCTGATATGTTGTGAAGCTCGCCACCGGCCGCGCGCTCAACCTCTTGGGCAGTCTTCTTATATCGTTCATTTTCTGTGGCTTTTGGTGCGGCCTTGCCAATGAAATCCATAATATCATCTGCAGAAGCAGTCTTGGTATTTGATGTTGCCAACAGGGCGAGGTACAGTGGGACCAGAGATAGAGGCATCTCGGGCCCAGCAAAGGCTGATATCTCGTCGTTTGCTAGCTCCTGTTCTGTACGCTATATGTTATTAAAAGTCCTTCTGATCAGGAAGAGCTGTACTTACCGACAAGCTTATCGAGACTGATAGTCTTGTCTCCAGGGGCATTAATGAGCTTGATAAAAGAAGCATTCTTACAAAAGAGCTCGACCTGCTCGGGATCCACGTCCTGACCGCCAGGAAGACTTCGAGCGGTTTCCAGGACTTGACCAACGTCCTGGCGAGCCCGTTCTTTGTAGATGTTCTGTAGTTTGATGTACATGTTGGATTGAGCCTTCATGTCAGGCAGTCCTCCAGGGACAGGTAAACGGCCATGTTGGTCATAGAATCGTTTCACAGCCTCTGTGATGACCCAGAAGCTTGATGTGATCTCCTCCTGGCAAAGGTTAGCGATGAAGTTGACAATAATTGCACTTATTCTTACAGGATCTTGGTGCACATGGTCAAAGACTTGTTGAAGAGAACTAGGAAGGGAGGGCTTTACTACATGTTTCATCACAGCAGCTATAGCCTCTTCAAAATTCTCTTCACCTCCCTCAGGGTTGTCTGTCCTCATGGCCTCCGAGACAGTTTTGCGGAATGCGGTCTTGTCGACGTAACTTGTAGGGTAAACGCCGCCGTGGGCCTGTTTCCATTGCTCTAGATAATGAAGGAGAATGACGACCATAGGTAAATGACCATGCTCATGACTATCGAGGTTGTCGATGTTTTTAGTCATGCTCTGGGAAAACTCAAGGAGTTCGGGCCAAGGGGCTAGAAGTCGCAGATCTGTAGTAGCGGTCTCGTCGGGATGGGTGTCAACGATAGGAAATGTGCCTGGTAATGTGGTCCTGAAGTAGGAGTAGTATCCAACAGAATGAACTGCAATTGTAGGAATTTTATGTTGATGAGAATAACCCCGAATTAGCTGAACCTGATCTTGAGGCAAAGGAAGAGCATATAGGATCATGGTGAATGTTGGTGAGCTACTGAGAAAGTGATCTAGGTGGAAAGATTCATCCTGAGATATGTCAGTGGGATTGACCGTTACGGCCGGGCAGATTGAGCGATATACCTGGGATTTAGGATACCATTCACCCTGTACTTCAGGGTTAAGTTCCAAGAGAAAGTTGGTGCAAGCTTCAGCTCTGGACTTGCCCAGCCAGCTATCATCCACGAAGAAATTGACACCCAAATCTTGATGAGTTACAAAATTCTGGTCGACAATAGTGAATCGGCCAATACCAGGTAGAACAAGATTCTTGAGAGTCTCAACGCCAACGGTACCAGCACCGGAGTTGACGAGGAGAATATTAGCCGACTCGAGAGCAGCCTGACCCGAGGCAGCCCAAAGTCGGAGTTGGCGGTCATATTTTCGCTCCTTCTCTGATGGACCTTGAAGTACCGGAGGTGTCTGGACCATGACATCGGCCATATTGAGGTCAGATGCTGATGAACGAGTATGTACTTGTGCTTGTACGTGACTGTGACTGTCCAGGTAATGATGCGATGTCGCACCGCGTAGCTTGCTCTGTAAGAAGTCAAACAGCGAGCAGACGGACTTCAAATGAACGAGTGTTGCGAGACCCCCGATAAGATGCGAGAGACTGCTAGTAGTAGTAGTATAGATGATATTGATGAAGCTCTCGAGTGGAGTGGGTGAAGATGGTGTTGAATAATCGTTGCCTGTTGCTGAGCAGTGGCCTTGTAATGGACCAGCCATTTCCGACCACTCACAGTTCGACGTGGGTCGAAACTGCGCTACGTCACAACTGGGAGTAGCCGTTCAAGTGGAGTAAGGTACCTAGTTGCGTGGTTGGAGCTCGTGATTGGGTTATCTTTGTCAGAGCTCCTGCCTTGTGATGACTTTTGGAGGAATTGGATAGATGTTGAGCACGAGAAAGAAGTAGGACGGAAGGGTAGAGCTGGTGATTTAAATGGAACCATTTTGGATTTCTAGGTTGTATTAGCTTGAGGACAACATCGAAAGTATATTACAGTTTTTCGCCGAACTTGAGGGTACAGTTTAGGACACAAAAGTAAGAGCGCCGAGCCAGTCATTCTCTGCTTACAATTGACGTTGGTAAGTTTTTGCTGTGCTGCTCTGGGATGTTGGTCACCAAACTACTTATTAGACTGAGGGAAGAGAATAAAAGATATAATTGGTTCAGGTTTGCTAAGTCTACTATGTATACTTTGTATACTACCTTTAAATTTACCTATCTAAACCTTTCTTTGTGTATCGTCGCACTCGTTCCGATACGACTGACCCCAGGCTCTATGCAAGTACCCAAGGTAGGTAGTTATAAGGTAATGCAGAATCCTTCAGCAAAGAGATGGAGTGATTGCAAAGCCCAGGGCACTACTCCATAGGATGAGACGCTTGCCCTTTGAATGGGCCTTTTGACCTTTAAAAGTGAAACGGAATTCCGTGCTTAAATTCACCGTCCGCTCCCAGCACTACCAGTATACGGGGACTTGATTCGCTGGTAAAAACTGCGCGATCGACACTTATACAGTAGGTAGTCAAACAAACATTTATTTCTGTGCACGACCGGACTTTTAGAGTCCAGCAAATAGCTTTTTCGATACACTAGAGAGCCGCACGTAAGGTAACTTACCCAGGAGGTATCTAGCGGGTTGCTCATTTCTCTTCAAGCTTCAGGATTGGCTTCCATTCTTCGAATTGATTTCCCATTTACGCCTAGCGCTGGCCTTCAAGATGTTCAATGGGGGGATCTGCCAATCAGTCTACGAGACCCTCATAAGCGAATGCGAGAGTGGACCCTCCATCGCTCCACTTCAACGTCCTCAAGCTGACTGCTTCACTCAGATAGCTCGGACTCGCAGCCGGAAAGTCATGTTGGTCCCCAATTCTCATTTTAGTGATTCCCATAGCATGTCTCGCAAGTCTTTGGCCGGGGTCGTTCATTATATGCGAGGGACGCACCACCGTCAGCGGAATGCCTACATCCAGATCTCCGGGACCACTTACTTGCAGGTGTCGTCCTGATCATATAAGGGACGGACACTCCTGATCACCTCGTTTTAGTAGAACCAAAATATCAAGGCTGGTCGAGACAAACGAAGCATCAAAACAAAGACCTGTTCATTACTCGTATTTGCTGCTTATTGTTTGGTGATCAAGAGTCCCCACGCGCCAGTGATTCAGACAAACCTGCTCGCAGTGCAACATTTCCTTCAGATTTTGGGGCTTCCATCAGGATCACAACTACCCAACCCCGACACCAAACTAACTGCCTTCCCTCATTTCGCCGTTTCTTGTAATCTTCTTGGAGTATACCGCTGGAATCTTGTCGCCTTTCTCATCCCCTTTCACCTACCCGTCATGAATGCAAGAGTGAATGATATGGATACGCGCACCCAGGATGATGGCAAACCAGAAACCACCTCTGGCTCCCAAACAGATCACTCACTTACCGCTTCAGACTCCAACGACACTGAAGTCCCCCTAATCCCACCTGCTCGTTTGTGGGGCCTTTGTGTTGGGTATGTCCCCCATCATCTCTTGTGCTAACCCGCTGCTAACACATACTCCAAGAGTCCTTCTAGGCCTGTTCCTGTCTATGATAGACACCTCTATCGTTGCAACAAGTCTACACAGTATCGGAGTCGACTTTGAGGTCCTCGAGGACGTCAATTGGGTTGCTCTTGCATACACTCTTGCATATCTCGGATGCGCCATCGTCTTCGCTCGTATATCCGATATTGTTGGACGTCGGGATGCCTTTATCGCAGCCTATATTATTTTCTTCATATTTTCCCTTGCCTGTGGTTTTGCACAGAGTATTAACCAACTCGTCGCCTTTCGTGCTCTACAGGGCATCGGAGGTTCAGGTATGCTCTACTGAACCGTCGTGTTCGCTAGATCGTTAACACAGTCAGGACTGTATTCTCTCACGATGATCATGCTGCCTGAAATCAGCCCAGATAGTATGAAGCAGCACATAGCGGCTCTGGTAGGCTTGGTAATTACCATGTCGGGTGTCCTTGGCCCTGTCCTGGGTGGTATCTTGACACACTATGCTTCATGGAGATGGGTATTTTGGATCAAGTATGGCTCCTCCTTCAGATATGTGCCTTGTCATGTAGCTAACAACTTGTAGTGGCCCTGTTGGTTTTGTCTCTCTAGTCATATTTGTCTTGACTTGGCCCAAACCGGAATACCTACCATCACAAGAACGACGTGCTTGGAAAGAACTTGATTTTCTTGGATCCCTCCTTGTTATTGCTGCAGCAGTTCTGGTCGTTTTCTCGTTTCAGAATGCTGGCACAGAAAGATCTAACGATGGGTGGAAAGCTTCCATTTTCATTGCACCCCTGATCTGCGGCCTGCTTGCATGCGGTCTACTCATTGCTTGGCAAATCCTCATTCAGCATCGATGGCACGATCGGTTTGCTCCCGCATTCCCAATCAACATCTTTCGCAACAGGGTCTACTCTACTGCCGTTGCCAACACCCTCCTCAACGGCTTTCCTTACTTGTTGCTAATCTATGCCATCCCCCTACGCTTCCAAGTTGTTAGTGGCAAGTCTGCTCTCATCTCGGGAGTCATGTTGCTTCCCATGTTGGGGACAGCCGCCATTGGCAGTCTTTTAGCAGGCAAGATTAACGCCACCAGGAACTACACTTTTGAGTCATTGGCACTTGGCTCAAGTGTAATGACGATCGGCTGCGGATTGCTCACGTCGCTGTCACATGAGCCCAATGATGCAAAACTTCTTGGTTACATGACATTTTGTGGTCTTGGTTTTGGCTTAACAGTCGCGTCTTCGACAATGCTATCAACGGTAGAGGTACCCATTAGGGACTACGGTATGTATCACGGCTTGGGTCGTGGAAGAAGCCTGTTGCTAACAATAAATCATTAGCTCCCGCACAGGGTATTCTCTCTCAAGTTCGGCTCTTGGGTGGTAGCTTGGGCATTGCAGCATCATCGGCCTTGTTGAACGAGAAGAGCTCAAAGTATCTTTCGGGCGTTCTTACGGCCTATGAGCAAGCAACAATTGGTGGCTCTAACACACATCTCACTAGTGCACAGTGGTCAGCTGTCCGCTATACCTACGCTGATGCATTTCAGGTAGAGATGAAGATAGCGACAGTAGTCGCAGCTTGCTCAGTCATATCCGCATTTGGTGCCTTCCGAAAAGGGCGTCTTTTGATAGCCGAGCAAAGGAAGATAATTGTTAGAGAAGAGGAAGACCGCCGACGTGCACAAACGGCACAGGTTGTATAGAACAACATTGACTCTGATTTTTACGCAGGATATCGCACCACACACGAGGACGTACCTCGCCGTTACAGGCTGTTGACTCAGGAATCTCCAGGGTTATATTGTAAATAGGTAGGGGTCTAGAACTTCTTCTTGTCTCCCAACAAAGGGTCACTTTAGCAGGCTAAAGTGACACACCTAATTACCGCACTTATAACCATGGGGAAGCATGAGCTGCACGCCACTATAGCCGCCACCACAAAATGAAGAGCTATACAATACATCATATTGAATGGAAGCATCTGAGTCGTTGGTCGTTATATTATCTATGTGCCACCATCCATACTACTACCTTCCTCCTTCGTTGTATCCCGATACATGTCCACCGCTGCTGTACTTGGTCTCCTCGGCTTCATATCATTGAGGGCCTCACTCTCTTCATCAATATCGTCATCGTCATCCCCCTCGCCGTCGTTATCCGACGCGTCTGGCGACTCTGCAAGACTGTGCTGCAGTGATGCCATGAAGTCACCTGCTGCCTCAAACTTGGTGATCCCCTCCTTATGGGGCAAAGTCGAGTACATCCTCTGGGCCTCGTCAAGACATCGCCTTGCCTGTATGTGCTTGGACTGCTGAAGCCATGCATCTGCACTGAGCACGCTCCAAGTTGCTGATTTTCGACGGCGCGAGCCCCAGTGCCAACTACCGACCCCCTCTTTCGAACCATAGCAAATAGCGAGTCGTTCCTTTATCAATGCATCACCCACGCTGCCCGAGATCTTAGACTCGAGAAGCCTGACGCCCCATCGGCCTGCATCATCAATATTGGTCCCACCCCGTAAACGCAGCAGCTCTAAACCCAGGAGCAAGCTTCGCAGTGCTCCATAGGGGGCACTGCACCGGGTGTTGTAGGAGTAGAACGCAGCCTCCAACATTTGATCTATTGTCTCGGCACGGTTCTTCGATGACATCTGTTGTGGAAGAAGCAAAAGACTTAGCGCAGCCATCTCATTGGCAGCGGCGTGATGTTTCCAGGCCTTGGAATCGCTAAAATCTGATCTCAAAAGATCATATGTTGAATGCGCCAGTTTCCAATCCCTTAACATAAAGGCGTAGTCTGCCAGTTTTCTCATAATAGCCTCAGGGGCTTCTGATCCATAAAACCCAGCAGCATTGTAGTTGTCTCTTGCGTTGCTTGTGCCTGTGGAATTCCTGGAGCTGCCGGTGAACGCCCACTTCCGGGATAAATTCATAAAGCGACCCGTGAGACCTCTTCTGCGAGAAGCAACTTGGTCATTCCACAACGATACATTTCGTTCCATGGTAGGGATGACAGACATGGTCACCATCTCACGCACAAACGTACGAATGGCAGTAGCATCAGATTCAAATATGTAGCGTGTTGGGTCCTCAAAATCCTCGTCGTCTTCGCTCCTCCGGATATCTTCCAGTTCCTCCTGCGCCGACATCCAGTCGCTACGGGGAAGTGGAATACTGTCGTCGTCTGTCTCGGCACTCTGGCTGCTTCTCAATCGAAGAAGATGGCAATGGGGTCCCATATTTCGTTTCATCTGTTCAAATAGCCCCATAGATCTTGTTATGTCGTCCTTCTCTTCATCGTGGACTAGCACATAGTATCGAATAAATTCACTGTCTACCCAAGGTGGAAGTTTTCGGTTCCCCTCCTTTGTTTCTGTGTAGAGTTTCTTTAGCTCTTCAAGAGGATTCGGATTCCGTGAGCTAATGGTAACAACGCATGCAACAGGGTGTGAAAAGGTTTCGTGGGGTGAAATAGGAAGCCCAGATAGCAACCTTCGCAAATAAAGAGCGTAATATGGTGATGTCTCTTCTGAGCCCGTGTCTGGACCCGCGAACAAGCCATGCTGGGGCAGCGCTGCGAACGACTCCTCTGCATAGGACAAATGGCTGTTGACTACAGCTTCTGCGTCCATGAGAAACTGCTTGTCCCTGGATGTGCTCGCTTGGCTGCCATTCTGACCTGGCGAGGATGCGGGATTCCTAAAACCTGAAACCGTGGGGTCGGGGTGTTCAATATTGTGACCGAATCTCGTAAACCTGATAGAGAATCCGTCTGCGGCTTTGCTCATTCCGTTGCTATCCCTGATCGCAACTTTGCCTGGCACGTCTTCACCAAAGGGTCGAAGTAGTTCCCAGAGACCGTTTCGAAAGCCCTTCTCGTCCATCAAAATATCTGTATCATGAGAAGAGTAAATCGAGACATGAGGTACGAATGCCCGGAGGATGAGATTCAAAGGTTCGGATCCATCGCCCCCGGTCTCAGGTAGTGGACGGCTTGGTCTGGCATCAAACACGGTATGGGACAGAACTCGAGAGGGCGATCCTCGACCGGCTGGGGATATTGAGCGTGATCCAGGAGGAGAGAGAGTTGAGGCATACAAGGAAGCAGCCGACGGGTTGGAGCGACGAAAGGCCAAGTTGGTTTCCGATTGCGACAATGGTAGCGACTCTAATACAGGCGTGGAGTGTCGCGACTTTGTAAGCTTCATAGCAGACGCGGCGACGGGTAACGCCTGAAGCGGTTCCGTCGGCGGAGCTGCATTCTCGACAGATTGTGGCATGAAGGCGATGGCGAGCAGCGGCTTGCGGTGACGATGTCGGACAGGGTCGTAATCGTAGGGGTCCTATCCGTAGGGCATAGGTATAATATAGGGCCAGGCTTCGGAGGATTATGAGGCGTAAGAAGGTGAGGGTGAACGGCGAATAGTATAGGCCACAACTCGGCTCGGCATGATCCTGTCACTGAAGCAAATGGGACATTAGGTGAATATAGGTTAACCAACGCCTTGGAACTTTGAGGAACTTTGATCTTAGATTAGCAACAAAGGTTGGGCGACCATGTGGAAACTCGGGATATGGCGGTACGTATCCTTACCTCATGGTGGAGGCGCCCAGACCGGGTCAGCCAGGGACAGCGGACAGTTAACGGAACGTTAAGCTCTGGGCTCCGCTCCACTGTAATTGCTCTACCGAGGCGAGAGCCGCAATATGGGATAGCTGCATACAATCTAAAACAGCAACATTCAAGATTCCCGACTCGGAAGACAAGTCCTATCGCTATACTTTCAACGCAGCCCCTATGGCATCAAAAACAAAATGCCTTCAGATTTAACAGCGTATCTTGCTTCTAAGTACTTGGTTGCCGACCCAAAACCAGCGAAGAAACGGAAGCGCAAGCGCGGCGCCAACGCCAACAATGGCCTTCTTATTACAGACGATGACGATTCAGGCTGGGGCAACACCAATACGCAGCAGGATGACGAGGGAACAGATGCTCCAGTTACAGTATCGGGGCGGTCTGCTGAGTTTCGAAAAGCCAAGAAGAGCAATTGGAAGTCAGTTGGAGGAGACGCGACATCAAAAGATGACTCGGCTGCGGCTGCAGACGCGATTCTAGCATCAGCGGCAGCGGAGCAAAACGCAGCTCGCGACGAAGACGAGGACATGCCTATTATTGAAGATGACGGATCAGCTGTGAAGATGAGCGACGGAACACATGCAGGACTGCAAAGCGCAGCAACTGTTTCAGCGCAACTTAAACGGCGACAAAAAGAAGAGCGCGAGGAGTTCGAACGGCACCGCAAGTCAAAGGAGGAAGAAACAATATATCGAGACGCTACAGGCCGAAGAATCGACATATCAATGAAGCGCGCCGAAGCACGACGTGCCGCTACTGCGGCCGCCTTTGAAGCAGAGGAAAAGGAGCGCCTGGCCAAAGACGCTCTCAAGGGCGACATACAGCTTGAGGAGGCGCGTAAGCGTCGAGAGAAGCTACAAGATGCCAAGCTTATGTCATTCGCGCGCACAGCCGATGACGAAGAAATGAACCAGGAATTGAAAGATCAGGAGCGCTGGAACGATCCTATGATGCAGTTCATGGCCGAGAAGAAGCAAACAGGCACAGGACAGAGCAAAAAGTCAAAACGTAAGCCAGTTTACGCTGGCGCAGCGCCGCCAAATCGGTACGCGATCAAACCAGGCTATCGCTGGGATGGTGTCGATCGTGGCAATGGCTTTGAAGCTGAGAGGTTCAAGGCACTTAACCGTAGAGAACGGAACAAGGGACTTGAATACTCTTGGCAAATGGATGAATGAAAGGATGGAGTTCGATGCAGATGTTCTATTATATACCCATTTTAAGCACTAAACTAATTGACCTTATCCTCCATAAGTAATGATCTGAATGTCAAGATGTATCCTGTTGTTGGATTCCGAAAATACGTCTGGTTCGGAGTCCGCTAACGAAGAAGTCGCAAGGTAAATAAAACTTCAGAGGAGAAAACAAGACACGATATTGCCGCCCTGATTGGGTATCTATTCTTTTATGATCTTCGGCGAAGTCGCTTGTCAGGTCCATAGTCACAAAGCTTTTTGACAAGCTGAATCCACTCAGTCTTAGACATCTGGCCTGGTCTATCACCCAGGCGGTGGTTGAAGAGCTTGATCAACTCGTTAACGGTGATGCCTTCGGCGGGGATCTTGTCGAGAATTTCAGATGGTTCGACAGCTGAAGTTCCAGGTGAGCCAGGAGAAGCAGCTGCAATACAATATTAGTTATGACCTTTGTCTGCAATCAGTCCAAAGAAAGACTTACCACCCTGGGTTGGGTTGGGGCTGCCAGCCCTAGATGCCGAAGGAGTGCCCCGAGCACTGCTACTAACTAACTTCAACTTCTTCCTCTTGGGTGCAGCTCCATCTGACATCTCGCCAGCAGTTGCCTCTCCATCACTACCAGATCCAGCAGCCGTGGGTCGACGAGTGGCTCCGCCCTGTACAAGAGGAGTACCAGACCTGCTTCCCGTGGCAGATGGGGCATTCTTCTTAAGCTTTTTGCGGGAAGATTCGTTTCCACTGGACTCAGAGAGTGCTGGCGAGCCGGCTCGCTTGAGCGACTTGCTCTTCTTAGAGCCTTCGGGCTTCTTCCCGGAGGGAGTGTTGGTACCCTTGGATCCGGAACCACTCTGGTTCTTGTCGTCCTTGTTCACGTCCTTCTTCTCGTCATCTTTCTTGTCTTCCTCTTCATCCTCGTCGGAGAAGTTGTCATCAGACTTGAAATATCGGTTAGCATTATTTTGACCCAAGTTGATAAAAAAGACTTTACCGAGCTGCTCCATGGATTCTCTTCGGAATCGTCGCTTTCGTAGATATCCTCTCGATCTCTCTTGATCAATGCCTTCTTGGTGGCTTTGCCGAGCTTCTGTCGTAGGATCTCTTCTCGGAGTTGTTCATCCAGTTCTTTGTCCACTTCTTGCTCGTCACCTTCTCCGAATAAGTTGGCACCGAGCTGTTCCCGACGAATGCGGTCCTTGGAGTCCTTTGTGTCTTCATCGTCATTCCTTTCGAACATTGGAGCCTCATCATCATCTTGAAATTCATCGCCCGACATATCAATCTCATCATGCTCCAGTTTCTCTGACCTCGAGGCAGCCTTGAACGTCGCACTTTCGGTCTTGACCATCGGGCCACTTCCATAGAACATTTTTCTTGTGGCCTCCAGGTCTTTTCGCCCAGCTTTCTTCTCTTCATCTCTCATGACCCAACGGCCCACGTCCACCTTCTTACTCATGAAGGCCTCCACCTCATCAATGTCGTAAGTCTGAAAGGGCGGCTTAGACGTAAATTTGTACCACTTCTCCAGGGGGATCATGCGGAAAACAGACTCATCAATCATGAAAGCCACGTTAGATCCAGAGAGTGTGTCCACAAAGTTACCAACCCAAACATTTTTACCCTCTGCATCTTCGAGATGCCATGGAAGAGCTTCCTCATATCGCAGGTCGGACGCCTTCTTAGCAGTTTCAGTCTTTGGCGCCCGGTTGAACGTTGTCTTCTCCTCTTTTTGCTTCTTCGGTCGCTTGGGATTAGGATCTTTGGCCACAGGCGCAATCTTGGCCTGATCAATGGCGCGCTGAGCCTCCCGTTCAGCTTTCCTCTGCGCCTGTCTTTCCACCTCTTCCTCGTCAGCCTGAGGCGCTTCCGGTGCTTCGGTCTTGACAGCCCTTCCTGGAGGGGGTTGGCGCGCATCTCGTCGGTGCAATGTTACGGGTCGTGCGAAGTCGTCTTGGTCGGTTGGATCGATGGGTTTTCCTCCTGCTTTAGATTGAGTGAACTTCATCATGTGGTATCGAATGCCGTCGAGAAGATCCTTCTTCGTTGTCATAATGGGGATGTCCTTGCACTCCGGTGGCGGTGGCTCTGACCAGCCACCATTTTGACGTCGAATCTCTTCAATGTTTGGCTTTGTTCCATTTAGCCTACCCGAAGCAGATTGCGCTGTTGGCCTGGGTGGTGGTCTTCGAGAAACGAGGGGGTTTGCCTTGGGATTTTTACGCAATGGCCGAAGGGGGTTTGGCTTCTGTTTCTTCGGGGCACCATTTGGATACCCAGGCGCGTTGGAGGGCGGATGGCCTGAGGGAGGCGGCGCGCTCATGTTGATGAAGAGGTCGCGCAATCGCGAAAGAAATCCTGGAAATGCTTTGACGACAACAGGTCACAGCCTGTAGCCTAGCTCTGCGCAGAGCGCGAGGCAGACCGAATTAACACGCGTATCTGGAGGAGTTCGTATATTAAAGTGACGGGGAGATTGATGGTGTTTGTTTTATCAATACAGGAAGAGGCTGGCTTAGGCAGACGAGGGGGCAAAGGAGCTTTTTATGCCTGGAAAAAGATGATGCTGAATGCAGGGACAAAGGTCCTGAGCAGATAGTGCACCTACCTTATGACGATGACAAAGGCTCTGAAGTAAGAAGCCACATGTGGCTGTGCGCTCCCCCGTTGCCAGTGTTTCTGAGCCTTGGCGACCTTTAGCAAACTACTAGCATTAGGTAACTACTTATCTAGCGTCTAGGTGTTGATTTTCGTATGACAGATAGGTACCTACCTACTAAGGTAGGTTGGTTTTACACACGAACCTACTAGTTGTTTGCACAGTGAGCAAATCCTAAACACGACACTGTAGTACCTAGACAAACAGTGAACTCATAACTGCATTTTGTGGAGATCACCAGCTCCAACCAAGTTCAGCACATTTCAACATCACACCTGTACGACTTCATTGCCGCAGTCACGGACCCCAAACGAACAATTATGCACCCAATCCACTGTTCCCTCTAGTCCCCCAATTCCTCCGTTCTTTGTTCGTCTCTTCACTCCATGTTGGTGGGACGGGGCCAAAACCTCTACACATCTTTGCCTGCCAGGACCCCTCCCTTCACCCAGTTGAAAGAAAGCGCAGAACTGAATTGAGGTTGTTGCATGCATCGATTCTACCGCGCGCTAGGTTTTATACGCCTTATCACGCAAGAAAGTGTTCTTTACAGAAGCGAATGTCGGGAGAGTGTTCGCTGAGCGGAATGCAACTATTCACACCCTGGTCCACATTCTTACAACAAAGAGTCCTATCGCGAGGAGCCTAACGGCAAGGCCAACTCCGTTGCCCTATCGCATAGTTTTTGTCTCGAGTCGCATATGGTTCCTCATCAGCGTGAGCCTCAAGTGGAGGCCCCTGGTGACTCCCAAGCAGGTCTTGAAAATCACTTGCGCAATCTGATCATCTCCAATGGCCCACCATTACACGATTCTGTGCCCATGGCTTCTCTACAACCTGCTCCTATGTCTCAGAGCGGCTCAGCCAACAGGAATCACTCTGTTGAAACGTCCGACGGTGCCCCCCATCAGTCCAGACCTGCACGGAAGCGGCTAAACCAGGCACAAAGACGTCAAATGAGCTCTCAACTATCCATATCTATTGATCCTCGGGCCCAGCAACCTCCCCCAGATAGCGCTTACCAAAGTCCTACATCTCAATACTCCCGTCCCTCTCAGTATTATCAACGTTATATGCATACTGACTCTCAGCCATGGGGAGCTCCCAGCGAAAATCGTCAAAGTGGCTCATTTTCCCATCGCCACTGGGATGGCCCTCAGCAATCTAGGTATCGAGGCTATGATAATCCTCCTCCCCCCTCCCGTGGCCGCCCTAACTCTATGCCAATCCAATCCAATCGTGGTTCTGGTTACTTGTACAACGCCAGACACGCAGTTCAGTTTCATCCTGAGGAAATTGCAGCTCAGGATGCTCTGCTTGACCAACTCTGTTTTCAAGTCGTTTCCAATTCCGAAATCGAAAGATCGGAAATAGCAGAAAAGGAGGAATTCCGTTGCAGAATTGAAACCATTAGTCGAGAGGTCATTGCCAACTACGAGAAGGAGGAAATGCCAGAAACAGACTTTCAACCCCTCACAGTTCAGCTGAAATGCTTTGGTAGTTTGTCTTCAGGCTTCGCAACCAAGGCTTCAGACATGGATCTTGGTCTTCTTTCACCAATGTCTGCCTCCCAGCCTGATGCTCCCGGATCTCCTATACCGCGCCTCCTAGAGAAAGCTTTCTTGGAAGCTGGTCTAGGGGCGAGGCTTCTGACCCGAACTAGAGTCCCCATCATCAAGCTATGCCAGTCCCCGCCGGAAAAGCTTCGGCAAGGACTTCTTGAGGAGAGATTTCGATGGGAGAATGGCCTTGATGAAGCCCATGAAGCTCAGGAAGATGATGAAACCGAGCCACAAGCAGCAAACAGTGAGCATGACAGTCAGCAAGGCCACCTTGCAGGGTTTCAAAACAGTTCCACAACTGTCGTTGAGCCCGTATCACTGGATCCCATCCAAGACGGCACGAAGGCAATTGAACTTAAGCAAAATCTCAAAAGCTCTCTCTCCTCATACTATGGCTTGGCCAAACGAGTTCTTCGTAGAGCCGGTGGCCGTGATGCTACCATCTCTAATTATCGCGTACTCTCCGATGATGATTGGATTATATTGAACAGAGTGAGCGAGGCCTTCATCAGCGGTCTTGCAGATACTCGTCTTCGTGATCGCCTGTCCACGTACCCGTCCCTCTCCTTTGTGCAAGATGCAGAGAGTCCCACCAAACGATCTTTGCTTGGGGTATACACCCAGGTCGAAGGCGAACATATTCGGCAGCGCTGGGAGGAGAGTGGTGTCGAAGAGCGTAACCCCGCTTCTCAATTGTTGACTAGGCAGGCCATGAAGGTGTGGGAGGACGCTCAATACAGAGAAAACTTTGGGACCGATCCCATCCTTTTCACTAAAGAACTTCAACTGGCCTTTGACAAGCTTAAACGGGCCCCTTCCGTGCAATTCGTGGTTTTGGAACAGGGCCAACATGAGGCGCCTGCGTCATACTATACGAGGGCACTCTACATTTTTAACGGACTAAAGCCAGCTAATGAACAAGCTATCGCAAAGTGGACGAGTATGCTTGTTACTCAATATGTCAGCGGTGTCCATCAGGAGGAGAATCGAAAAACGTTGCAGACTTGCATAACCACATGTTCTGAGTCCCTATCGCTTAGAGGAGTCGCGCTCTTGCACAAATGCATCCATTTAGCGTGGGAATTTGAACGAGCATTAGATAAGAGTTCGTACGATGAGTCCGTCGTACAGGATGTTAAAGAGTATATCGCGCTACTGCGGTCACCTTTACAACAAGATGATCCCCTGAGGCTTGGCGATGGGCTCTTCATTCCCCTCACACCAACAACGGTAGACCTTGTGGCAAGGATCCGACAACTTCCAGACCCTCACAAGATGGCTCCGAACCAGCCACGCGATCGATACAGAGATCATTTAGAATTTCCCAAGACAGGCGCAGGTGTGCAATGTGACATCAACTTCTCCGCCCATTTGGCTCTTCATAATACGGCTCTCCTACGATGTTACTCTCACACCGATCCGCGCGTCCGGCCCATGGTCTTGTTCGTCAAGCATTGGGCGAAGACTCGTGGGATCAACTCTGGATATCGTGGAACCCTTAGCAGCTATGGCTACGTTTTGATGGTCCTTCATTATCTAGTCAACGTCGCTGAGCCCTTTGTTAGTCCAAATCTCCAGCAGCTCGCTCCTCCTCTACCCCCAGGGCTCTCGCCTGTCGAATACGAGGATATGGTTATGTGCCGTGGCCACAACGTTCAGTTTTGGCGTAACGAAGAGGAAATCCTGGGGCTGGCACGTGCAAACCAGCTAAATGGTAACAAAGATACCATTGGTCACCTCCTGCGTGGTTTCTTCGAGTATTATGCCCATAGTAGTATTCTCAGCACTTCCACGGGCAGGGGATTTGACTGGGGAAGAGATGTGCTCAGTTTGCGGACGCCAGGTGGTTTGCAGACAAAGCAAGACAAGGGTTGGACTGGCGCCAAAACAGTCATCGAGGCTCAAAATGTTGGGCCTCATCCGCCGCCTCAGCCCGACCAAGCGTCTTCCACGGCAGTACATCCTAATGAGAGTACTGTGAAGGATACGGGAGCACAGCCCAAGCAGGGCACGCAAGGCAGCGTCACAGGTAAGAATGGAGAATTCAAGGAAGTCCGTCACCGCTATCTCTTTGCTATCGAGGACCCCTTCGAGCTGGATCACAACGTTGCTCGAACTGTCACACACAACGGTATTGTGTCAATTCGCGATGAGTTCCGTCGGGCTTGGAAGATTATTAAGTCGGCTGGTAATGGCAGCCCTCAGGAAAGCTTACTCCGGGATGTGACCGATGTAGAGGAAGAAGGCAGTCCTTTATCTCGCCTCCTGGATGAGATTCATGGAGCGGGTCGATCCCGAAACACTTGATTGTATAATTATGATGTTGAGACGATGTACGAGGTTGGGGACGGGTCAGGATCGGTGCTGGCGCAACAAGACTTAATCGTGTGGCTCAATATTTCAGTCTTTGACAATGGCTAGGCTTGGTGGAATTTATCGTTCGTTTGACGTTCACCATATAACAAATTACACAAGAGTAGTCAGCTTCTTTTGAGCTTGGTATCGGTATGCATTGTGATTTGTGATGCTCAACTTGATTGAGACAGAACGTCAAAGAAGTTTCTAGACGAAGACTTGGCAGAGTTGTTCTGCCTTTTTGGGCCATCATTTTTGCCCACCTTGCGCTTTTTCTTGTCTTTGGCAGTTCTTTTTGGCACTGCGTCGATACTGGCATTTTGCAATGGGACAAGGCTAGAAATTGCCTTGTAAATTTGGCCCTCATTGCTTCTCTGCAGAAGCACAATGGTTCTCTCCACATCAGGAAACTCCGCCAGAGGTGGTAATGACGACAGCATGTCGTTTAGTTCTGGTAGGGTTCTTTGAAGCTGTCCAAGCGAGATGATTTGCTTCAAGAGTCGAAACGAGTAAAAGGCGGCTTGGAGATGAGCAACAAAGTGAAGAGTGTCCCAAGTAATTTTCCCAAAAGTTGGGGCTTGTAAACTCTCTTCCAAAATCTGCAGCGAATGTGAACGCTTGCCAACTTCATGGCTATATCGTATATCAAGAGTCAGGCACAGGATGTACCAAGCCCGAGTTATGTCGACTTGTGATCCTGCTCTGATCATAGTCATTAGTCTGGCCAACTCTTGAGACCAAGCTTTCGCTTCCTTCTGGGGTAGTGAAGGCACCTGCCGCCCTTTTTGCGCCAGAGTGTTGACCCTCCGGTACTCCTGAACAGTTGTTAACGCACCAGGAATGATCCATCGGGCTACTGTGTAAGCCAATTGTCGAATTGGCGTGCTCTGTTCCCAGGCACTTCCCCGCGAAGGACTCTCTAGCAGAATAGGAAGAAACATCTTGGGATCGCTTATAGTGTGCATGTGGCCACTCTGGGGTCCCAGTTGCAGTATCATCTCCGATATTCTGGGGTCCAGTAGGCCGATTTCTATTTCTTTCCCGTATGTTGAGGTGGGAATTGGTGCAACTACATGGTCTAGATACTCGTGGCAGAACTCAGTGTAACCCTTTTGGTCGGTGATTGGTTGTGTACACTCCTGCAAGAGTTGTGGGAGTGTCGAATGGGCGGACCGTTTTCGTTCGTAAGCAAATCGGCACATCTCAGCAGAAGACGCAAGCTTAAGTTTCTCGCAGATGTGGGAGGGACTGAAGCTTGCGCATGCGAGATTGGACTGATCATCAAGATAAATGTCGCGGAGAAAGACGACACTTCCCTTGCCAAGATCATGGACTAAAAGATCCGAGTCGGAGGTGAGAACCGTCCCGCCTGATTGTGACAGATGCTGTGCGCAATATGCATCTGCCTCACCCGGAACAAGAATTACTATCTTATTGTAGCGCGGCGAAAACCTCAAGGCATCAATGATAGCAGGTACATGAAAACTGGGTGGCAATGCCGACTTTCCTGGTGGTTTAACTGCAGAGAAGAGGACCGGAGCAACCTCATTGGCAACCGAGAAGTATGACGGGAAGAAACCATTGGTTTCAGATGCATGGGTGGCCTTCAATTGACTGAGACTTTTGATCATGCGCTCCATACGAACGGGTTCTTTTCCTTTTGGGAGGTATCCGTCAAAATATATAGCGTCCCTGTCACTGTTAGTCTCATCGAAGCATGAAGAGGCACAGAACTTACACGCCTACACCACGCCGAGTGAGTTCATCCAACCATGCTACAGTGGTCTCGCCAAGAAGTTTGTATGACGGCTGGGGAATACCATGTCTGTTGCAGATGTACAAAATATGATACGCTAAGGCTGGCCCATCGATGACTACATGTTCATTGTCAAGACCTCCATGAACGACGTAAGGCTCCAGGGTAGGTATGAGACGAGGAATCCCCATGTTGCAGGAGGGTCTTGAGATTAGTGAAGCTCTATCCCATTTCCGTTCAGGAAAAAAGACCAAGATGCTATTGTTCAAGAGAATAAATATCTCTTTTCAGGCCCCTCAATGTCGTTGTTACTTAGAAATCAGTCGTAGGAGCTCCAGGGCTGCTGCTTCATGGTAAAAGGGACCGGCACCTCAGCTAATCGAGCAAGAATTTCATAGGCCTTGACTGAGAAATAACGAGGCTGTGACACAGTTTCCGGGATGCCCCGCTTAGTGAATAACTTGCGGGCAGTATTACAGTGCTGGACACTGTAAGTCTTCCGGCTTCGGGATGCTTGATTTGGTGCCAAAAATGGCCTTTGACTCCACTATTAGAGAAGCCCAGCTCCTATCTACAGTTAGTGTCAGCTTTCCGACACACAGTGCAACGAGCCGGGGCAAAGAAAAAAAAAACCTCCAACCTGAACGCGGCTTTCCTTCAATCTCAACTTTTCTTTCTTCCTCCATTGTCTTCAAAGCTTCACCCTTCCACGTCGGTCGATGGGCTGGTCAAGATGCGCAATACACTGATCTTCGCAGGCAATTCCTGCCCAGTCCTCACAGGTCAAATCTGCGAGAATCTGGGCATGCATCCTGCCAGCGCTGAGCTTACCCAGTTCTCCAATGTGAGCTTCCCTTGCCCTCGTGCTCGTAGCCATGGCCATTTAACATGACCCTTCTTTGGCCAACCATCCCGACCACTCCTCTGCAGGCCCATATTTGGCAGTCAAACAAGCTGCGTGCTTTGAGCTAACCAGTGCCCAAGGGTGAGACGAGCGTCAGAATTCTGACAAGTGTCCGAGAGAAGGACGTTTTCGTTGTCCAATCAGGCAGCCCCAGCATCAATGACTCCATCATGGAGCTTCTCATCATGATCTCGGCCTGCAAAGGCGGTTCTGCTAACAAAGTCACTGGTTCGTGGTTCTCGTCCCCTGCTTGAGACCTCAATCGGCTTACTTGTTACGTCCAGCCGTCCTTCCTTATTTCCCCTACAGCCGCCAGTCAAAGAAGAAGTCTCACAGAGGTGCGATCACTGCTCGCATGCTTGCCAACTTGTTGGGTGTCGCTGGCGTTAAGCACGTTATCACTGTCGACCTTCATGCCTCGCAGATGCAGGGCTTCTTCAAGTGTCCCGTCGACAACCTGCACGCAGAGCCTATCCTAGCGAAGTGGATCCGCCACAACGTGTCTAACTGGCGCGAAGCGGTCGTGGTCTCCAAGAACGCTGGAGGAACCAAGCGGGTGACATCGCTTGCGGATGCTCTCAAACTCAATTTCGGGATTGTTACTACAGACAGGAAGCGTGTGAGTAACATGACAGCGAGCATGATCATGAGGCACTTCGATCATAATGTAGAGCGTCAACCCACGCCGTTGGAGTCTAACCGACCTATTCCCTACCGTGGGCCACGGGCTTCCGAGCGTGCTGTCGAGTCCGAGGCTACTCCTAAGAGGCAGACCACCCCCCCTCGCTCCTCGCGAATTGTGACGGACTCACAGGGCTCTCCTACACGTGTCAACAGCTCCGCCCGTTCATTGACTGCCAATACTGCCGAGGCTACGGACCCTAACACTACCCCCCCTGCTGGATCACCAGATGGTTCGGCCGATGGTGAGGCGGATTATGATGATCATAAAGCGTCTGAAGTTACACAGGGCCGTTTGGTTCAAGGCCGTATCGTCGAGGATGACTATCCGTCTCCTGATCGATCTGTTGTGGACGGCAGTGTGGAAGATGATCCCATGACTATGTCTCATGCTTCATCATTCTTCGTTCCTGAGCCCCAATCTCTCGGAGGATCTGGTGACGCTGCGGCAAGTTCCGATGAGGAAGACAACGCATTCGAGGATCCAGGCGCCGAACATCTCATCACTCTAGTCGGAAACGTCAAGAACCGGACCGTTTTCATCGTGGATGACATGATTGACAAGGCTGGCTCTTGGATCGCTGCGGCTGAGACAGTAGTAAAGAAAGGCGGAGCAAAAAAGGTTTATTGCATGGCCACCCACGGTGTTTTTGGCGGCGACAGCCTGGAGCAACTGCAAGCATGCGAGTGCATCGACCAGATTGTTGTGACCAACAGCTTTCCAATTGATAAGGACAGGGCACGCAGCATCAGCAAGCTGGTGGTTCTTGACCTCTCATTCCTACTGGCAGAGGCCATTCGACGTAACCACTACGGCGAGGCTCTTTCGCCTCTCTTCCAACATTATGGTGATTAGATAGGACTGCATTGTAATGCTTCCAATCTCACACAGTCACCCGTTGCTACGCAATCGCGCCTAGTCTGCCTCGGCAGCTAAGGGCTTATCGACACTACCATTTGTGTTTTGATGATTACTATTCATTTTTAGCGAGGCGTCTGGGGGAAAGGACATATTGGTACCATATGCTGGACCATTGTACCCAAGGATGAAAATTCCGACAAAAAAGCAGAGTAGGTGATGAATTACGATTTCAGTTCCTGGTCTTTTGGTTTAGGTTCGTGATGTGATGTGATGTAGCGCTCGCCTTTTGTCAAGGCTCAGCCAAATGCAACCCAGCGGTGCTGTCACTTGTTGACGGCAAGGGCCCGATTCACCCTAGAATGGGTTCTTAACGGAACGTTGGTAGAATAATCTTTCGGTCTTAGAAGGCCTGCAACTTAGAACCGTCACGGATTCGTGTCTCTTCGGGGACAAATGAGTTGTGGGCAAGAGAAATTTCCGAACATTTTGTAAACAGGATGCTCTTGATAGCAGTTTCTTTGTATCGAACATTGCTGTTTAAGTCAACATTTCTACCTTTCTATAACTAAGACTTTTGTTTAATACAGCTCATACATAGTAATTGTACCATCTTTTCGCTTGAAACTTTGTTATGAAGGCTGTTTGTTATGTTTACTTTCGGCTGTCTAAGTTTTTCGGTGCATAATACCAGCACCAGCCTGTGGTACAGAAGATTAGCCAAAGCCTTCGACTCTTGAGTTTTGATTCAGTATGTTACCTGATGACTGGGGAATACTAGCGTATCAGCAACAACAACGTTCTCTCGGCGAGTTGCGGTAAATACGATGATCTCAGCAATGTCGTCGGGAGTGAGCGGTTCGCACCCGCTGCTCGCAAGTCAGTACTGTGTATTTTGACCAGTGCAAGACAACCTACGCATAGACAGCATCGGCCTTTTCCTTGTCACCGTAGAATCGTACCACGGAGAACTCCTATGAAGCCGTGAGCAGCTCGTCATGTTGGCTTACATATAGGTTACGCTTACAGTTTCGACCTGACCGGGATCAATCTCAATAACACGGACACGACTGGCAATGAGCTCCTTTCGCAAGCTGTCAGTAAAGCTGCGAACAGCGGCCTTTGTAGCGCAGTAGATGCCACCGCCAGGGTAAGGCTCTCGGCCAGCAATGGAGCCGACGTTGATGATATCACCGTGGCCACCGTCTGGTCGGGCGAGGAAGATGGGGAGGATAGCCTGGGTCATGTTGATGAGACCTGTGACGTTTGTTTGGAACATAACATTGATGTCCTCCGCAGCAATTTCAGGGGCACGAGCAACACCCTTGACAAGGCCACTATTGTGTTGTTAGTAACCCTTCAACGAAGTTGACCACGTATAGACAGGAGCTTACGCATTGTTGACAAGCACGTCAATGTTCCTCCACTCCTCGGGCAAGTTGCCGACAATACCCTTAACCTCAGCAGGGTTGCTCACATCGAGCTTGAAAGGCAGAACCTTGACACCATCGCCGACCTCCTTCTTGATTTCTTCAGCAAGTTCCTTGAGGGAATCAACACGACGTGCAGTAAGGATGAGACGAATATCATTATTGGGCGCAGTCCGAGCGAACTCCAGAGCCGTGGAGCGGCCGATGCCGGAGGATGCACCAGTGACAAGAATTGTCTTGCCAGTGAGACGTTTGGCAGCAGCAGAAGCCATTGTACGACGAGTGAAGAGGGGGCGAAAGAGGGGAGTGAAGGGGTTTGAGTTTGAGTGTGAGGTTGACAAACAGACGTTGAGGGTCTTGGATGCGGTAGTGAGTAGGCGACGGGTATTCATTTGTTGACTAAGACGGTGGAGAAGATGGAGATGAGGATGGTGTGATTGGACTTGATAAGAGAGGTTGAAGATCCGGAGGAGTCAGAGTTGGAATACTGGGAAGGGTTCAGTTCGGGTATTAGAGATAATGGTGCTATCTAGACTAACTACCTAGGTCCATGTTGGTTACTAAAGTGAAGCCCATGAAGATATCTATCAATATTGCAAAGGCACGTTCTGACTAGACAAAAGGACCAACCAAACAGACCAAGAGATCATGATGATGAGAGCCGAATTTAAGGACTTTCCAAGATCCGATGCCGCCAACGTTCCAAACTGTCTGTCATTCATGTCATATTGGAGGAGCGGCCTTTTCTTACCCCGCGATTCGACACGACATGGGTCCCGAGCAGGGCATGAGTCTAGGATTTGTCCTATCAGAAGCTATCAAAGTTGCTATATTTCTGGCCAAGGTGACGAGAAGGCCCTATAATGAGCGTCATTTTAGGCCCCAAAGCTTGACATGAAAACCTCGGCCTTGAGCTCAAGCACCGCCTCTATCCGCTTACTTACAGCTCCATCTCGATGATACAACCTCGAGGTCTTTCTGAATCGTACCCAGAGATAGGATTATCACGACGCTGTCTGTCTGATAGGTTTGGCCACAATCTAACGAAACTGTTTTTGGGTACGGATACAGCAGGGAAAGATATCCTTATTGAAGATAACTTTGTACTTGTATGAAGAGGTAGGAAGCGATACTTGCTGAACTCACCGTCTCTTTAGGTTGAAGTACAAAAGCTGGATGAGTTGGAAGTGAAAGATTGTTCTTTGGAAAGCTAATAAAAGGCAATGTGACTCTCACAAAGGATTGGATAAGGTACTTTACCTTTCCTGACCTTACCTGACCTTACCTTACCTACCTACTAACCTACCTAGGTACTAAAGGTAGGTATGCTCTCAAGCACACGATGAGTTGACGGTTGCAATGAAATCATTTTATTGGTTGCCATCCAATGACATATCCAGTACATATCTACCCGCTGGACCACCATCACCCCTGGCAATAGAATTCACCAAACCCCCACTAAGGTACCTAACCTTTAGGTACTATTGTCCCTGGCCAAAGCCACGGGACAGGCAGGGCGATGCCAATGCAAGGTATTGCATTCACCGCGCGCATCCATCCTCCAAATGTGTCGTCATTCTTCTGAACTTTCCTCGACCATCCATCATTTAGTCTTATGACGTGAAAAAGCAGCCGTTCGAAAGATCCTGACTTTTTACCCCTCTCAGTTTATCTCCTGCGATTCTTATCAGTATATACCGATTCAGCTTGCAAAACATCATGGGCGAGCTCGCCGACTACCTCATCAATAACGACCCCAGCTTCAGCAGGTAGCACACATTGTCCCGCGTATCTGGACAACTGTTGTTTGTTTGACTAACAAATCCCGAGGTCACGATTAGCAGCCCGATATTCGGACTTTCGATCACAGCGCACTTTGAATCCCGATGGCTACCAAGCAAACATTTTCGCCTGGCGCCAGGCCCTCTCAGATCTTGTCGCCAGCGGCAAGATTTACCACCGCGGGTCCAGCCCCGATCACTTTGTCCTCAAACTCGACGATTCCTTACTGCGGTCACTGGAATACAAGGAATTTGGCCAGCCCCTGGCCCTCGGAACCGTAGTGCGCGAAGCGACAGCCGGCCGGGATTTTATCCCACTACAAGATTTCGAGAAATCGCAACAGAGCATCTATCAGCGCAGTTGGGCAGGTCTACCATGGAGTGTGATGAGTTGGACTTTGCGACAGCTGGGCGTGGTAGACCCTGCCAGGGGCGATGATAAGCTGCCCACAGGCCAATATGTCATTGTCAAGAACATGGAAGCTGCCGCGAAGGAGCTGGGCGATCTGATGGCTGGAAAAGTGTCAAGATTCGATCGTGTTTTCAGCAGAGCACAATTTCAAAAAGCTTTCCCCCTGGCTCTCGTCAAAGGCCAACAGCTGACGGACTCGGACCTTGACGTTCTACTCAAGTTTTTGTCAAGGGATAAGGAAGTCATCGAATATGATGGGGAAACGATCAGAATTAAGGGCTCTGGGGAGCAGAGCGGTATCACAAAAGAGGACGCTGCAATCGCCTCCCTGAAGGAGCTCACAGAAAGTCTGAAGCATCAAACCGACCTTCTTAACACACGCATCGATGAACTCTCCCAAACAGCTAAGGAAGCCGTCACTAAAAAGAACCGCGTTGCAGCTCTCGCTGCGCTGAAATCCAAAAAGATTGCAGAGACCTCGTTAGCCACTCGCTACGCGACTCTAAACCAATTAGAAGAAGTCTCCGCCAAGCTCGAGCAGGCTGCTGACAATGTGCATCTTGTCAACGTCATGGAGGCTTCTTCTGGTGCGCTGGCAAGCCTCAATGCACAAGTCGGTGGTGCCGAGCGCGTCGATGCAGTTATGGATCGCCTACGGGAGCAGAGCAGTGCGACCGACGAGGTGAGCGCTATTCTGGCCGAATCAACAGGCGAGCCCATCGACGAAACTGCGCTCGACGACGAGCTCGAGGCTATGGAGGCACAAGAGCGCGAAAAGGAAGAAGAGAAGGCGAAGAGCAAGGAAGCGGAGAAACAGAAAGCCCGCGACGAGCGGGAGGCAGCCGAGGCGCAAAAGAAGCTCGACGAATTGCCTGATGTACCTGCTGATGGTGAGGAGATCCGACAGAAGGAGCAGACACCAACATCCGAGACTGGAATTGCAAACCTGGCGATATAGAAGACGCCAGGCGAACGGACTGGGAAGAGAACCAAGCTCAATGCAGGCCGGATGGTTCGTACGTGTACATGATGATATAGTAGGATATCCCTGGCGTTTTGGACTTTAGATTGTACAATTGGGTTTTGTTGATTAGAATCTATACACCAAAGGCACATTTGTTGCGCCATTATAATATCATTAGGTGGTATCTCAATGCATGCCCTTCTATATCTACCATTCCAACCATCAGCACGCAGTTCTTAACCGACTTACGAGTTGCGATCGTAGTTCTTAGGCCAGGAGTCGCTGTGTATTCAGTCTTGTGAGAACCTGTCCTCGCGGGTGTCTGATGGACGTCTGCTTGAATTCCTATTGCTCCCTCGGTGGCCCTTAGACTGAGAATGCGATGGTTCAGGCGATGGACTATCGGAATGCGATGGTCGACCTGGGATTCCTTCCGCCGGTCTTGACGGAAAAGACGAGGGAACTGACACAGCCCGCCAGTCTGCAGAATGATCTTGCATTCGATCGCTGTTCTCCTGTGGTGTTGTATTTCCGTCCACTGTCGACTCATTAGCAGCCTCTTCAGCCTTCTTTTTGGCCTCAAGCCTAGTCCTCTTTGCATTTGCAATCAGGTCTTTAAAGGACGCGTCATGTTTAGCTGCCCATGCTGCACCGTCGAAGTCTTTGTCCTTGATGATTGCTGCATTCTGTATCGATCGCCCTGTTGTTGGAGCTCGTCCTCCTTGTGTGCGTTCCCAGACATCCAAATCATGTAACAATTCGTGACGTTTCCTAGGGCGAGCAGCGTCGCAGTTTGCATTCCATATCGTCATCCACTCTTTATGTCGGCGCTCAAGAAGAATTCGAGGGCCCTGATTTGAAATACCAAGATCAGCCATCTTCTTTCGCAAAGCTTGGTCCTTGAACATGGAGTAATTTATTGCAGGCAGGCGGTCCGGAGCCTTTGTCTGATGTCGCTGTTGGCTGAAGCTGGTGTTTGAACTACTGCCAGGATTTCCCCGTGGCCTTTGCACGGGTCCTGTACATGTCTCAAGGTGCTTGAAAACCTGCCATTCCTTCATTCGACTTTCGCAAACTGGGCACGCGACCAGGCCGTCCTCTAGCGATTGTTAGGAAAGAAGTGTGCGCCTTTGGCACCGCTGAACTCACCTGGCTCCGGCTGAAAATCCTCATCACCCTCTGAGAATTCGACAGTTTCGTCTTCTTCACTAGGAACTGTATATGAGGGGGGGGACCGAGTGTTTCGCAATCGCGTGGATGACCGTAGTCGCTTGCCATCTGGTGCATCGCCCGACTCATGATGATCTTGGACTGCTTTTCGTTTCGAGCTTGTATTCTTGGTATTTGCGTTTCGCGCCAGGTCAAGTGTTGCTGGTCTGGCATTGATGAATGCTTGCACAGCTTCTTCCATTGCCCAATTGCTCCGCAACTTGAGCTCTTGCTCTGATGCGCGACACAGTGGGCATTTGCCCTCATTGGACAAAGCTCGTCGGATGCATAGTGAGCAAAAGGTATGGCAGCAAGTTGTGATCATGGGGGTTCTGTAGAAGTCCTTGCATATTTGACATCGCAAAGCGCTTTCGACTACGGCAAGGGCAGTTAGTGGCGTTGTGAGCCAGTCTGTAGAGTCGGGGACATCATGGTTGGCCATGGGGGGCGCAACAGTGCGAACAGGGGCCAGTGCGAACAGGGGCCAAAGCGAATGAGTAATATGATGAAGGTTAAAATGGTCTTGATATCCTCAGTTGGACTTTGTAAATTTAGGACAAAGATCCCAGACCCAGAATAAAGTGGTCGCGCTGGAGACGCGATCGCTAGGATGACGCTGGTAGTGATTAAGGAACCCGATTCTAGAATAACGCCCCTGGAACAGCCAGGTTGAGTTAGTGCTATGCATTTAGCCGGTTGGCGGCTGGCCTTTTGAAAGCACTCCACGTGATGTCGCGTCCCCCCAACGCGTCAGGTACTTTTCTGTTTCGTTTCCTACTGGGAGAAGCTACCTTGCCTTGTAGTTATGGATCGTTAAATGAGGGACGGCGATCTTACCGCGTATAATCAACCATTTTTCGTGTTATTTGCCCTCAATTTCAAATCACGTTTCAAGACTACAAAAAC